CCCTCCAACTAGCCTGCAATCTTTTCAGCACACCTCTCTACCCAGAGCAACTCACGTCCTCCTCATCCCCACTCCGTGAAACCTGCCTCCGTCTCGCGACCAACTCCCTCCTAGACTCACAAACCAGTCTCCGCGTTGTCGCCGCCTCTTTTGCCTACAATCTTGCCGCATTCAATCATAATGCCCGATTTGATGGGAACACTGATCCTCTGTCCGAAGAAGATCAGGTCGAGCTGACCGCGTCGGTGCTTGAGGCGGTTTCCCGCGAGGACGAGAGCGTGGAAGCCTTGCACGGCTTGCTGTTCGCCCTTGGGCTTTTTGTTTATGAGGCTCCGATGGATGGGTCTCTAATTGATCTTTGTCGCGCTATGGGTGTGGCGGAGACGATATCTGGAAAGATGAAGGTTCAGGCCGTACAGAAGGAGCCGCTGCTTAAAGAGATAGGAGAACTCTTCAGCAAGGGGCTGTAATTATTGAATTTCTGCATAATGTCCAATCAGAATATACGTGAACTCGAATTCCTCCAAAGCTCGGTGATGATCTACTGAGCCATTTCCTGAAACATTTATTCGCGTATAGACTTGCGCATTTGGCGTGCCGCGCCTTAGTAGTGTCCTTTGATTATCCTTTCTCACAACCTATGGGCTATTCAATCAACAAAAATGCTCCCCTCCGCTACAAATGCAGCATGCCCAGCAAGTTTGATAGTGGAGACCTTCTTCCTGTCCTCATCCAAGAGCACATCCACAATGACACGACTATCCCTCCCCATCTCAATTCCCTGGTCAATATAAAACCGGTGATTCCGTCCCTTCTGACCATTCGACAGCGCAAGGTAAGCTCCGAGAGAACATCCCCCACTACCACAAGCAGGATCCTCTAGATCAATCGCGATCATGCGCACACGAAGATCCCAAATCACCAGGTCCCCCTCCGTACGAGACCCAAGATGCCGGTGATACATGATCCCGGTGAAGGACGGTGACCATCCCTCGTCCAGATCAAGGTCCGGACTTCCACCGGGCACAATATTGGCGAAGATATCTGGTCTTTCAGTCAGATCCACCAGTGCATATGTGACGCCTTTGACCACGGAGACGACTGGTGATGTCTCTTTCAAGCCCTGCAGATCCGAAGCCGCTAGGCTTGCTTGAACGGGAAGGATATGGCTTGGTGTCGCACCCTGCTGGTGGATATTAATATTGTGGGGGACTTCAGCGGAGACAACCTCGTTGGCTGGGTCATATGATATGGGAACGGGTCCGGCTTTGGTCATTACAGTGAGGGTGTTCGAGCGATTGGGAGCGTCGGCCATTAACTGGCGGAAGAGAAAGTGGCCCGCGCCAATGATGGGATGGCCGGCGAACTCCATTTCGTTGACAGGTGTGAATATGTCTACCTGGGGGTTCCCATTCCCGTCTGTGGTGGGATGCAAGAACACTGTCTCGGAGAAGTTGAATTCTTTGGCGATTTGTTGCTTTTGTTCCTGTGACAACTTGACATCTGTGAGCTTCACAATGGCGACAGGGTTGCCCTTAAATCTATTTCAGTTAGCTACCGAGTCATTTGTATTGATTTAATGAAGAGAACTATACCTCTGTGATGTGAATACATCGAGGGTGACTAGAGAAGAGTTAGCACGTATCATTTTCGTATTTTGTCTAGACTTTCATACCATATGGTGCCTTTTGTCCGGACATGATGGCGATTAATTGTCGAACAAAAGCGTTCAAGAATAATTTCTACAAGAATTCATATAGGCCTTCTAAGTAGGGCTACAGTAGAGAGTTTGATATTACCAAGCATGGTCGGCTATCATCGGTGCAAGTATAGAATCATGCGGGGAGCAAAGGTCCGATTCCGGCGCATCTGAGGCGCAAATAACCTTATATGTTAGGGGTTTCAAAGGTTCACGTTCTCGGATAGTCCGACGCCTTACCGGCGACATATCGGCCTCCCGGACCCACATCGGCTACTCTCGGTATCAGTCATCACAATCGCCGGACTTGGGAGATATCAAATATCAAAGTTTGAAGATCTTCAAATCTTCTGCTTTCCCTGACCATGGCAGAGAACACCCACCACATCGTCGCCATCGAGGCTGTCCATTGCCCAATTCCAGAATTTGATCTCCCAGGGCCGCATACTCGCGCAGTCCACCGATGGACCGACCCCGCTGATCTCCACAGCCGCGTCAAAGATGCCACAATCATCGTGACCACAACGACGCGCCTGTCAGCGGAGACCCTCAGCGCTGAAATAACCCCAACCCTCCGCCTCATAGCAATCATGGCGACCGGCACAGACTGCGTTGATATAGCAGCTGCGTCCGCGCGAGGAATCACCGTGTGCAACTGTCCCGGCTCTAATATTGACAGTGTCAGTGAACACGCTATTGGGCTTTACTTTGCCACTCGACGGAAGTTCATCGAGCTTCATAATGCCACAGTGGCAGTTCCTGCGGACTTGTCGCTTGATACTGAGTGGAAGACGAATGGCTCATTGCTCAGTCGGGTTCGTGCACCTGATGGACAGGCCCCATTGCTGTGTAGTGACGAGACCGTGTGTATTATTGGATACGGATCGCTAGGCAAACGCATCGAGGCCATGGCAAAGGGCCTTGGAATGAACGTGATTATTGCCGAGCGTAAGGGTGTATCTCCTCGAGCGGGTCGGGTTCTGTTCGAAGACGGCTTGAAAAAGTCGACTGTGGTTGTTTTGTGCTTGCCGCGAAGCGCGGAGACGCTAAACATGATCTCAACCGCGGAATTCCAGATTATGTCTCCCCATGCCGTGTTGGTTAATGTCGCAAGAGGTGGAATTGTCGACGAGCAAGCCCTGGTTGAGGCTCTCAGGGGCGGAGCGATTTCAGGCGCGGCCACAGATGTTTATGCCACGGAACCTGCTGGCAGAGGTGATTCTCCGTTGTTAAGCCCAGAGGCAGCGGGATTGAATCTGGTATTGACGCCTCACCTTGCCTGGTATTCTGAAAGGACGCTGCAAAACCTACAGGCTATGTTGAAAAGCACAATTGAGAAGTGGTGCGTTGGTGAGATTATCAATCAGGTGCGATAGTCGGGAGATTTTGGTCCTTTGAAAATACATCTGGCAAATAGAGTATTATAGACTGCCCTGTAAAGCACTTTGAGCTTGGACAAAACATATGTCATCTTTAACGAACGAACACAGAAAATTACGTGAAACACTCGCATCTTCCTTCGCAAACCACCACATTCATTTACCTGACTCTAACTTCACACCATTTTCGCGATCTCCGAGCGCAATAAGATCTGAGCTTTTCAACTGCCCTTTTGGCTAAAAATATGGAGATATCAGCATTTGTATGGAGACAAAAAGCTTCATTTTTTACTTGTAAACGCCAGCAGAATCAGGGTACTTTAATTATTAAGCCATGTGTAATAATAATTCAGGTATCTTGATTTTTCTGCCGTGCAAAAAAGTAAGGCATTTAGACATGACCGCCTTGCTCAAGGGGGTTTTGAACCCTACAGCTTCGTATACCTAGCTAAATACTCTGTCTGCATTTTACGAACAACATACAAAATGGACTTGAAAACAAAAAAAAAGATTTGTCCGGAAAACTAACAAAAAAAGAGGATCTGTCGGTTGTTAACCGGCTGAATTTGATGCCCGACCGGGGGGTCGAACCCCGAACCTTGTGATTTCATAAGGATAAAAGTCACACGCTCTGCCAATTGAGCTAGCCGGGCTGCTCTTGTTGATATCCGATCAATCTGCGGAAAGATAAATTAAGGAAACAATAAAGGATTGGTGTGCTTGGTATGTTACAATTTTGTTCTTTCGTCTATTCATCTCATGTTTGAATTCATAATTTCACATATAGTAATTTTTTAGGCAAATCAAAGACAATATACTAATAAAAATACTCACAAGACATGCATTAAATGATTATTTTTTGGTTCTTTTTCATTTATATACCTTCGCCTCGGGGTTATATATATCTCTTCCATATTCATACTTTTATTTACAAGCAGCCCACGATTTTCCTGCCACGGATAGAACTACAAATACCGACAGAGCTAGGAGAGAGGAGAGAAGAAGGATTGATTATCTACAAACAGGCAGGTCGTGGTAATTACTGGTAGCTTATAGGCCTACGCGGAGTTTCTATTCCGGGGGACGGGTATTGGGGTTTAGATAATAACACTTTGCTAGTTGATGACCTAGGACGCTATAATACGTGTAACTACAGTTGCTACTACTGGTTAAGTCTTCTACGTGGGATTCGGCGAGGATTCGGCGCTCTTTCCTTTCGGTGGTGCGTTTTATAACTTGGTTTTGTTAGAATTGCCAACTGATCCGTATGCTAATCCGCTCTCTACGTTCCGCTCCGTGTATGGTAGGATCTCCATATAACATCTATATTAACCCTTCACAGTAATCGTCGTTAGCGGGTTATGTAGTGGGAGACATATACCTTTGTTAATAAAACAATTGTGAAGTAAAGGTGAGAGAAAAGTGAGAAAAAGTCATAGATCCTTCGCTAGGCTAATTATGTCTCGGAATGGGTTGATGCTTTACAACAAACCGTATGAAGAGGTATAAAAGGGGTGATATTGCAATTGACAACCGCTTATGGGGCAAACTATACGAAGTTGCTTTCGCAATATAAGGGGGGTTTGATCTTGATAGATCTGATAAAAGCAGCAGTAGGAGGATAGAGCTGCGAGGATAAAGAGAGGACCCATAACGTAAGAGAGCGAAGGGAGAGATGAAAATGATCTGTTGCGGCTACTGGTGAAGGGGAGGAAGAGAAAGAAGAAACATCGTTGTTCAATATAGCAAAGAGCAGGGTCTTTATACCCTGCCAATCAAGCAAACAAGCGCTCAGTCTGATATTCAACAGGATAGATTCTCCACAAACAGGCAGGAGCTATCTCCTTCTTACTCCCTCGCTTTGTAGCTCAACACCCTTCTCTCATTAGCACGATTTCAACACTTTTCTTGACGCTTACGCCATGCCGAAACCACCCCCTCCCCCTTCTCCGCCACCGCGCCCCACCATCAGCAAATTCCAGACCGAGGAAGTCTATGACCTTGGACCCGAGGCGGAAAATGCTCTAACTGTGAGCCAAATCGTGCAACAGCTCGCCTGGGAAGATCCAGAAGGGCTTGGCGAGGGAGGAGTTTACAGTAAAAAACACCCCGAGAGCAAAGAGTCCGACGACTAACTAGAACGAATTGAACAGAACTTGCTCCACAAAAGACTTGAATTCTATCCAGTCTTCTTGCGTCGATACCAAACAAAAACAGGAAGTTTTACGGTCACCCATCAAGGATGGTGAACTGAACAGGGTATCCCTAGGGAAGCTCATTCCACGCACCTGGGATGCAATCCAGGATAAACGGAAGGGCACGAAGGGTCGAGTGTCTTCACCGTCTGGTTCTCTCAGAGCCAAGAAAAGGGACGCTCCGGACGTCGATACTCGGAGGTGGCAAATACCTCCTAGCGGAGGGAGCACGATCACAGACGTTAGTAATACCCCGTTGAAACATAGTAATAAGAATGTCTCTAACAATTTAAAAAAAATAGCTCCAACCCCACGAAGTGACCGTCTCTTCCCTCAAAACCCTTACAGATAACCTGATGGAGAAGCTTGCCCAACCTGGCTTCCAGGTACACCGTTTCAAATCCTACCAGCATGAAATGCAATGCTTTGGACCTGATAGGGGTGGATATCTCCTTTAAATCACTTCTAGTGAGGCCAAAGATTATTGGAGGCCATATGTTGGGCAAGCTGGTGTGCTGTTTCGCTGGATTCCAGAACATATCAAGCATGTTCTACATGGGCATATCCAGACACTTTGCTACTGGGTTGCCTCAAAACCAAAGCGGCAGCTGAATTTCATCAGGCTCTGGGAGATCACAGAAGAGGAAGGAGACACGGACCAGTCTCTAGAACTCCTCAAAAACCTCCTCGAAATGATCTTTGCTCTCGCCTTCCAATCGCTCCCACAACCAACACTCGAACATTTTCTTGGCACCCAAGAATTCTCACTCCGAGGACTCAATGTTGTCTCTCCACTCCTCCGAAACATCTCCATATCCCCCAACGAAAGGGCGGAATGCCGCCAATGGCTTGCACTTTCACCTAGTCTCGAGACCAAAGAGTTCATGAAGGCCAGGACAGATGAATTACAAAAAAGCCAGAATCTATCGCTACACCCATCATCTCCGAGACGAAACTACGTGGATATCCAGAGGGAGTTTTCTGAACGAATTGCACCTCATTTTTGTCCTTGTAAGGATCAAGGAGGAATAGCTGAAAACCCACGGTATCCCGTTGATAACGAGAAAATAGCACTTTACCTAGCACAGCGAGATGTCCAGGAGAATATACGGGCATTCCCGTTTGGTTTAACCAAGGGTCGGATTGGATTTGTCTTAGATTTTGATATCCCTCCCCTTAAATGGGATGGAGAAGTCAAAGCCAGCCCAGGTACGGGTTCCGCCCCAATGATTTCCAAACCAGCAAAGGAAAGGGCAAATACCTTACTTGCTATTGGTGTGGAATGCTCACGTATGGGCCGAGAACGCTACCTTGTTGGTGCGAAGTTCTACAGGCGACACTATGCCAACAGTGCTCGATGACTTTATCTAATACTGGCTACCTGCCGATCTGCAAATCGCGAATCGAGCATTTAGATATTCCCTGCGGATTTTGTGGTTTGCTCTATGGTCCTAGTTGGCGATGGGTATGTGATTTATCCGTGCCTAGCGATCAGTACCAGAGGAAGATCAAACAAGGTGCCGAAAGACCCCAGACCGCAGGGAATACAAAGCCACAGCAAGGCGACAATTTCCAGAGCCAGGCGCCGAGAAAGCTCAGGATGACAGAAGGTCTGATGCAATATTTTATGGAGAACTTTGAGATTGATACTACAAGGGAAAACCTCAAGGCGTTGGGGAATGGAGGGACAATGGTGGCTGAGCTTTGAGTCCATGACTGCGTATGATGCATAGTCTCTGGTTTTGTTAGGCGGCGTTTGTTGAATTATCACAAGATTTGAATTGAATACTACATGTAACCAAAAAAGAAGATGTAAGGTGTATAGAAAAGTAAGAGAATAAAAGATAGCATCTCAAATAGATTGTTGCGATCCTAGATTACCGTCATAGCTCAGAGAAGCCAGAATGGTAGATATCGGCTATAGATGTTTCCTCAAGTCTACGGGTAATCGATTCCCACCTTGAAATAATCTCGGAGACTGCCGTTCTTGCCGAGAGGTACCGGCTACTTGATTTCCAAACTAGAGCACCTGTTTCAATTGGCCAGTTCACACCAGCTTGAGGCTTGTGTTTGGAACTTGGTGGGCCTAGGAATACAAAGTTGATCCATGCTATATTGATTTGAAATCCTACTACGAATCTTCAAGTCAGGGCATCCCGACCTCACAATAAATGGATGCGTTTATGCCAACGCGGCCTCCGCGAATTCGTAATTCTACACGTTGTCCCCGACTCATTCTCTGTCATGGGGACCCAAGCGTATCTCGCGTTTTAGTGTCTGGGGAGCAGCGGAGTATGGTACTCTGTGTCTGGTTGTGCCCACGGAGAGACTATGTCTCTCAGCCGTGATGTCATGTTCAAATGTACTAAATTCAGTAAATTGACGATATGTCTTCTTATTCAATTACCCACAGTATCCAAGGCTTAAGTCCAAATCAAGTTCTATTATTGCGCCTTGACTCCCTGGGCAGTGCTCACTGATGTTTCTGCTTATCCAAGTATGTATCTAATCTCACTACTCTAGCACATGCTACATTCCATCCTTTTAAAATGACATCACTCTAAGCTGATATGATTGCTTGGAATCCAACATCGAATTCTTATCAGATGATATTGTTTTAGACGGAAGTTTCCCCGATAGGCACGGGTATCATCTACTAATTGGAATGTGATTTTAATCACAACGGGATTATTCCCAGTTGGTAACAACCATAGAGTTGAAGCATGTGCCCGACTCATAGAATGTGATGCCCAGACCACTTGATATCGACTTCGCCCTTTGGGTTGGGTTGGTGCAACACATCCACGACAAATAGCGTAAATGCAGAAGAGAAGAACTAGCCACGGTGGCAAAAAGAGACCGTTAATACCGAGGCGATTATTAGCGGGTACCGGGGCTCTTTGAAACGCCAACTATACTATAGAGCTTATACTTGTGACAGACAGGGAATGAGGCGGTAAAATCCAACAACCCAACATGTAATATAGCACCACCATTTAAGCCTCCAAACTCAGTACCAACTTCAAGTACGGAGTATACATTCCTTGTTAACCGCAGCCAACTAATCCCGCCAAGCAACAAGATCAGGACGTTGGAATCAGGCGACCTGGGACAGACACCAAATCTGACCAAGGCAGCCTAACAACAACCCCGACCTAACTTCACGATATTCTCCGGTGCGCTCTGGTTAAATACTAATGTACATATACACACATTCCTATGGTTATCAATGATTTCGCCACATTTCCGATTACTAAGATGCGGCACCCCCGATCTCACTGTTGCATTTCAGCGACAGGGCCGCGTGTCATATATCGACAGCAATAAGCTCTTGCAGCCTCCGTGTTTCGGGGTTGCGGGCTCTGGGCGGCCGAGGGTGAGGCGGTTACTCAAGCGGGGAACACGAGGCGGGCAGGGCTGACGATCGGCTGTTGGATTATTCTATTTTCAGGGTGTGGTTTTTGGAAAATGGTTACATCTACAGCAACGTGGCAGGGACTTGGAATAGAGTACGAGTAAGTTCGATGTATTGGACTTAGGAATGTGGATAGGATTACTGTTTATAGTTTATTTTGGATTTGTTTCATGGAAGGATATTCTTGTTTCGGGATATGGTCAATGTGCTTAGCTTAGGCTACCTAATGTACGAACGGCTATTGACAAATGTGATATGGCACGGGCAATATTCCGAGAACAGATCACAGAGTTGGAGCGCTGTTGGAAATTGCAAAAAATCACAAAGCGTCAAAGGTAATGAAAACAAATGGGGGTATACAGGACGGGGTATCAGAACAAAGACGCTGCGCTGGAAAAACAGATTCATAAAAAAAGAAACACCGGGTCCCCATGGATGCAAGCCTGAAGGTAGGCATAAAAAGGTCAAATGATGACTGAATCAGGGCGCTGCAACTCCATGTAAGAACGTGATCCCTGTGGGATGGGGGGAATAACGGATTCGCTGAAAGGAAAAAAAAAAAAAAAAAATCAAATGTGAAAGTTGGAAAATGAGTCAGAGAGCCAGATGAACCAGCGGTGTGTGCAATGGAGGTGACGGAGGTGACAGTGGGATTTCGAGAAGCGCCGACAGCGAGATATTAGGTAAGCGGCGCGGGGGCACCTTTGTATCCCGGGCAATGTCGGCCCGGTCGAAATACCACCCTGTGAAGCTTGGATGTGGCTGAAGATCGATCATGGCATGTTGCGTTGGGGGCCAGTGTTCGAGGGTTTGAGATGATGCGATCTCGCGGGTATCACGGTTGGCGAGAAATGGGAAATAGAGATTAGGCACCGCTTTGGGGGTGGATCTCTGCACACCGGGGAGATGCGGGGGTGGAATTAAAAGATAAGGCGAGATAATGACATGATTGCGAAGAGAGAATGTGGCGTTTTTCGGAGAGCGCCTGCGCTGCACCGGGCATCACCGGTGATCTTATTGACTGAGCACCTTGGATGCCGAGTGAGCACGCCGTTTGGGAGTGGGAACGACTCGGCGCTTCTTGCGCTTCAATGTCTCTCGCTCTGTCACAACGCTCTGCTTTGCTGAACGGAGGGCTTGGGTTGCGCGGGCATGGGCTTCGACCTTGGCGAGGAAATTGGCCCGATCTTGTTGTTCGGCGATAATGCGCATGCGCTGAAGTTGCTGTTCCATGGTTACTGAGCAGACACCGGTGTCTTGATTGATGGCTTCCTCCACTTCTTTCTCGGCGCCCGAGTTCTCTGGCATCCATAGAAGGTCGTCGTCAGAGAGGAAGGCGCTGGCACATGAATCGGCGGAGTCGTTGCTTGAGAGGGAGGGACGGTTGGGCCAGGAGGGGAAGGCATATGCTGCTCCCATCTCACTCGAGAAAGATGACTTGCGTGGGTTGATGTCGAGGAGGGAGTCGGTGGGAGTTGGTGGAGGTGCGAAAGGACTTGACATGGACGAAGAGGCGCTGCCACTCCAGGCAAAGGTGGGTTGTGCTGGATCTGTGCTGGCGAGAGGAGCCGCCGGCTTGGGGGAGCGACATCTCGTGGAGACGAGACTGAATAGGAATCATGGCGAATGTGTTGAGTAAATGTTGAAGAGGGTTGGAAGTACCAGGGCCCAGTAGGTGTGAGAGACGACAGTGTGAAAGGTGAAAGATGAAATGAGGGAAAGAAAGAGTCGAAGGGTGGGTGTTTATCAATAAAAAAAAGGGCCCAAATAGATATCAAAGATCAAAGCCGGGGAAAGACTTCTAGACCTCCCGATACACCCTTGCTCGAAAATCAAATTCCCAAAAATGGAAAAAAGAAATAAAGAAAAAAAAAGAAAATCCAAGAAAGGAAATCCAAAAATAAAAAAAAAGGATAAAAGAAAATCAAAAATGAAATAAATCCGAACAATCAGGCGGAAGGGGGTTTCCGGCAAACAAAGGGCTGTCGATCCTTGGAACTGATCGACCCAATAAAGAAAATAAATAAAGTTCCAAAAATGGAATTTCTTTATTTCTTTTTTGGCTGACACACGGGGAAAGTATCGGATCCCCGGTTTAGCGCCTCAGATATTTGTGTTGCACTTTGTATACAGAGAGAATCTGATATCAGCTAGATTTGCATCCCTTGCGGAATGGTTTCCCCGTAATATCCTTGAGAGATCTTTGATCTCAAAATCGGATTGTTTGGATTTTCCAGTTCCGATGATAATTCTCCAATGATCATGCCTCGGATTCACCGCTTCGTTCGGGGAAGGGAAAAAGAGTCGCGAGTGCTGCAGGCCTAACTTGAATTTTGGAGCCCTAATCAATGCACCCAAACAGAATCGTTGAATGCCTGAAGTTGAGGAATCAATTTTGTTGGCGTTTGGCGGTCACGGGTGGTTCAACACGTCAACATGTCAACACCGATAGTTGAAAAAAAAAAAGTATTGGAAATGTGAAGAGAAACCCCCACGGGAGAACGAACTATCATCTTTCTTTTAAATCTACAAGAGGAAAGGAATTTCCCCGTGTCTCCACCTCGGGCCAAGTCTAAAGTCCGTGGAGGATTCGATTTTCCAGTCTAGAAGCCTTTAGTTTGTAAAAGGAGAACGGCCAGAAGGATTCGAAACGGCTTCCGCCTCGGAACTTGTCCCTGATTGTCCGTTTCGAGCGGGTAAATGCAGTTCCTCGGCATTTTTTAATTTGCCGTCAGATACCGTTTGCTCGGTACTCCGTCACTCTAGTAATAGTTTTAGATGTTCTCAAAATGAGTAATCAAATCCTCCCGAGAAAAGTCCGTCTCATTTTTGCACAAATCACAGGTCCCCCCACAGTCACATGCTTTGCTCTTTGTTTACTAATTTGATAAGAGTCTAGATTTTAGGTCTAGAGCCTAGATCACTTCAAAGACATTTCACATCTATCAATTGTACTAATTTTCGAGATCCGGAACGTCATGTCCCTTTCCGAATTTATGTTATGATCTCTCTAAGATGACTTGCTTAATGCAAGTCTAGTGACGGGGAAGAATGTGACGCTCTTCCCCGGTCCAAGTGGATCAATCCATCCTTCTGGGTCCAATTTGTACTCTTCCGCTTGATCCTCCTCGTCATACTGGTCATATTCAAAGGATATAATTGACATAGTACCCCGTACTTTGGTAAATGTACATATCAAATTCCCCGACAGCCACGGAATGTGAAATACAAATCCCCCCCCCCATAATTTGATGCTTCCGCCTCCCGGCCCGCCGGGGAAGCTGAGAAAAACCCATAGAAAGGGGTCAAGCGGGGGGGTTCGACCCAGGAAATCAAATTCAGATCGACGTGACAGCTCCGCTGTATAACGCTTTTCGTCTCCCCGGCTCCTCCGTACTCCACCCGCAATGAAGTCATAAATAGTTTGTGAGAAGGATGCGGTTTACGTACTATCGATATCCCGCGTCACGTTCAGATCTTTGCCCCCTTTCCAGGCTTCCGGTGCTTCAATTGATCTTCATAGCATGCCCTACCTGCCGGCTACCTCTCCCCTGGGTTCCGTGGTGGAGATGGTTCCGGGTAACTGGGTTGCTGGAGCTATATTGATTTAATTCAACGGAGGCATGTGAATCTCCCGAAGCATACGGAGTAGATCGGGACCACAAAAGTTCTGTTTCATAGACCGAAAGCGAGAATTTGGTCTACCGGCTTTACCTCGGTTAGATTTTTTTGTCATGCAGCTTTGCAAAACTTCGCTTGTTGGGGGCAAAGACCAAATACAATGTAGGATTGCATGTACATATTTGTTATTGTATCCAATGCAGGGTTGAAGCTCTTCATTGAATGTGGCCAGCTCTGGCCCCTTGGGTAAAAAGTTGGAACTCGGATCCACACCGGCCCCCTTCCAGCCTTTCCCGGGTTTCCCTGCAGCTTATATCATGCACCTCATCTGCAGTTCATATGCAAGATCTCTGACCTAAATTTACACAGGTCTGCTCTTGCATACATTTAATGGATAACACTGAAGAAAACAGGTTGGATACTGAATCCACACTGTCTATGAGGTACGGCATATTTCAATCTCCGGAGTACCGATATCAACTCGGACCGAGGTCTAGTTTCTGTATTTGGGGAAAGTAAAAAAAATTAATGTGACAGAATCAAGTTTCAACACACCGACTTAATAATTCCATTTCCTGGTACTTTTTTTTATCAAAGTTTCCAAGGTTGCCACTGCACAAATTCTAAGATGCAGCTCATCCAGGGTTGATGCTGCGGGCGCTAAAAGATAAGATGATACTGAACCACGGAAATATACATCCACCCCATGGGGTTTCGACCCACATTCCGTGAGCGGAGATTTTGAAGAATGTGAGATAGCACATTCTGTACGAAGTACATTACTTCGTACATAGTGAGTAACCCATGCCGGGACACCTTCCGCGGTCTCGGCTGCATCGATCGACAAGGGTGTGATGGTAGTGGCGGGTTGACGGTGTACCCGAGACGTGTCCATGAGGCGTGCTTAACTGTCAACTTTGATCATATCCCAGACAAATTAAACGCCCCCTGATTCATAGGGACTGTGCTCATATGGGCTAGAATCCGCACGGATAGCACCGTCGTAAGCTGTTCATCTAGACCAACGCCCACAATTGTGATGGTTGTGAGATCAGACAGCCCATCTCTGAGACCGCTACAGCAGCCCTCGCTATTGGATACAAATTGCAGCCTTCATCTCTTCTGCTGACTCCAATCAAATTATCTTATCTGAGTCAAAACTAACACTTACATTATAACCTCATAGCCTATAGACTTGACCGATATTTGCGATCGGGTAATATGCGATCGCCACGGTCGCTTTTCCGTGGGGGACACGTTTTAGGAAACTCCGGAACTAAATCAGGAGGGGGCAATCTCCGTTTCATGAACTACTTTCGGTCATTTTCGAGAACATTTCGACACACCGCACATGTGTAAAGCCGGGAACTGCGGTAGCCCGTGAAGTCGTGTTATATCATTATAGATCGCTGAAATTCTTCGACTTGCCTACTTCGGTCTGGACATTGCTTTGTGTCGAGCCGTTCCTGTATAATGCCGGGCATGAATGCTTCGGGCGCATCGACGTTTCAATCTGCGCTGGGTACTGACATCCGCGCTCTGCGCGTCTAGATGTTACGGTCAATTTGAGCGTGCAAAAAAGCAACATCCTGGTCGTACAGGCTGGCATCGTATACCCGAGTGAGGGACAATATCCGAACAGGGTCGTTGATAGTGCTATCCCGTGGTCGTAATTCCGGTCTAAAAGTGACATGGGTTCGTTGCCTGGTTATCCCCGATGCACGGGATAGATGGACTGGCGGTGAATTGTGTTTCCTTCCTATTTGGCTTGAAATATGCACCTGAATTTGGGCTGTAGATGTTTGCGATACGAGGGTGACTTTGGGCTTTGCGACCGAAATTGTTTGACTTGGAGCTGTCAAAGGAGTGTTCAGGTGATTAACTTCGTATTTCGCTATCCCCTCCCTCTTGTGTGCCGACAAAGCTAGCAATCTTGAAACACTTCATTTTTTGAATAGTGGGGATGCTTATCCTAAGCCAAGCTACGGGGATAAATCTATAGTTGATAAGGCCTACATGGCCATATAGAAGTGCTTAAAAGTGAGTATTAAATTGTAAAATTATGACTATGAGAGCAGCTTCCTAGTAGTCCGCTAAAAGGTACTTAGGTGGATTAACCCAAATTCAACCCAAATTCAACTCAATTGCATACAGTCTGTCTACTATTCTAAACTAGAACCATATCCTTTATTCGATCTTTTTGTCTTTGTCAAAGTCGGGGAAAGGCGAAACACCCCCCCCTGGGGGCCATAATCCAGGCTTAAATAAGTTAGTAGTTGGCGCTAGGGTTAACCAGCGAATTCTCTTTGTTGTATGTTTTGGTGTTTTTTTGCTCTACTCTGCTTCTTCTTACATCTAGGTTGTTGTTGAGTGGGTGAAGTACTTGGCTGGTTGTCCTAGACGCAGGAAGTTTGTATCTCAAATCAAGCTACATGACCCCCTATTTCTTGAATTGATACATCAGCCTTGACTCTCATGCTCAAGACTCAAGAGAAGGCGCTTGAGGTCATTCTCCGACTGAAGTTGTAATAGTTCGTCGATGTCCCTCCGATTTTCAGGTGTGAAGTTAACCTTCTTACCGTATCGGAGGAGCACCTCGACCACGTCTTCTGCTCTATGGCACCACCGTAATATGTTGATTAATGTTGACGGGAAATTTGAAGGAATAGAAAGGTCCGGATCCTGCCCAAGAAAAGCTTCAAGGCAGTCGGCATCTCCGTCTTCCGACCAGGCGGAAAATGGTCCGGGACCAATCTTCAAAGTTGGGTAGTGATTGAAAAAAATCTTCAGGTGCTTGAGTTTATAGTTGCTAGAGTTTTCTGAAAACACACTCGCCAGCACATTGTCTGGGACAAGGAGACACCGATATCGAGGAAGGAGTAATCGCAGTTGATCGGGGTGTGTGACGGCCATGAGAATATTGTCCGTAATCTCCATGTCTGGAGCGCGATTGAGCAGGGCTCGGAGTATGTCCACCGAGTGGTCGGTGACCCGTGTATCACGCTCTAAGAATGAGACAATATTGAGTTGAGGGGGGATTGCCTGTGGCTCTTGATCCAATAGGACTTCCAGTAGGTAAGGTCCTCCATAATCAACCCTGGAAAATGCTTCGAAGACTTCTGAGCTGATTTCGCATCGCGGTTGGAATTGGAATAAGGCACTCAGCGTTCCTGAGCTTCTGACAGAATTTAGAATCTCGGTGGTAATTTCCACCCCATTGGCATGGTCTAGAAGTGTCTTCAAACCCCATTCACTGGAATCGTCAAGGGGGACAGCAGCAGCTATCATATCCTGGGTAACTGCTATATCCGCATGGTCTTCGAACAGACATTCTAGTGCTGTTTTCTTCGACAATCTCAAGTGATAGGATGGCACTTGTGCCGCCAGAACAAGATCTGCATCTCTTATTTGGAGGCCATGGCCATATCGAAGAAGCACATTTAACACCTCTTCGAAGTTGTCGTCGGCTGACTTGAATCTCCGCATTCTGCGTTGGCTTGGGTCTGTAACCACTCGGCTCAGGGCTGCTGCTAGAGGGCTTTCAAGCCTCAACCCGTCGAGATTTACATCCAAACCGTGGTCGAGGAGAAGTTGAACAGTCTTAGCATCCTTATATCTGCACGCATAATGCAAAGCAGTCCCATGTTTTGCTGACCATAGGTTGACGTTGATTCCACAGGCGGCGAGAAGAAAATTGAAAGCATCGTGCCGGTCCTTTATCATTGCTGCAATCAAGGCTGATCCGAACAGCCCTCCGGTATCATTTTTATGAGCTCCTTGCTCAATGAGAAATTCCATCATTGAAAGATCTCCAATGTATGCGGCAATTTGAAATGGCCAGTAGATACTGCCTCAAGAAGCGCAGTATGCGACAGCGGTTCTTGCATACAAAGCATCCAAGCAAATGTTTTAGCTGCTGTTTCATACGCGATGGGGTCGGTCTGTTTGAGATTTTCGAGGATATCGGAGTAAAGAGAGTTGATTGTAGCAGAGATTGACGACGGATCTTTAATCTCGTCTATGACACTCTTTGCGGATCTCAGCTTGCAGAATCTTTCCATCTGCAGATTTACCCCAAGAAACCTGGGATATAGTCAGCCATTGTGCCAACTAAACGGGGTTCTCATCTTGAACATACATCTCACCGGCCTTTTTGAGGAGGAAATCGATCAGCTGCTGTTGCAGATCATCCGGCACACAGTCATTGAGCAGTTTTCGACTAGTAATAACAGTCGATACACGGTGTCTGACGTACATTTCCATATCTTGTCGAGAATCGGTCTCCTGCACGCGAACCTTCGAAGCATCTGGCAAGCCTGCAAAAATATTGCTGTTGTCCCGACTTGACAGAAAGATCTTGACAACACTAGCAGACTCGTCCCGAATCCGAGTTAAAGCATGCAAAAGATTCATGTCGTCGATCCTCCTGAAACTCGTCAACCCCATCAACAATAATAACTGCTGGATTCGCACCCAAAATTACAAGAATAAGATCCGCGCATTCAGCACACCGAAGCTTAGGAATCTCAAAGCCATCCAGCTTGGCTTCTGCTTCCCTATGCGCATACTTGAGAGAAACAGACTCGTGGATCTTGAGTTTTTCTTTGTCCACAATTGCAAATTGTCGAGTTATCGAGCGCATTAACTCCTCTGGATCGGCCCATTTTCTACCGAACCGACTGTCACCATAGTAGAAGTAGGCGATCGGGGCGCAGAGGGTATTGAGCAAGCGCTCTTCAAGGAAGGCGTCAACTACGGCAGTAATAAGGTGCGTTTTCCCAGATCCAGGAATTCCATGGAGAAGCAGGATCGACGAGGAGCTTGAGCCCTTCTAAGTGAGGTACTGCGGGTGCCGAAATATCCATTGAGACGAGTTTGGCAATCTCTCATCGGAGTGTCGCTTCTGGTGCTGAGAATAGGGTACAGCAGAGAGCCATTGTAAGATCTTGAGGAATTTTTCTTGCTCCAATACCTTCGCATATATCGTCGATTCGTCCACCAATCGTTGAACCGGGCGTTGAAGGGTTTCAACAATAGTTCGAATATAAGTTACTTGAACAGAGGTCTGCTGCTGTAACTGCGAATCCACGATTTGAGCAAGCTTGAGAACATCCTCATCTTCTTTGACCATTCGATCGATTTGGTCATCCTGAGATGACCGAAAAATGCTTTTGATCGTGCGAGTCAGTGTAGATTGACCGAAGTATCGAATTCCATCGGCCAGGAAAGTTAGAATATGGCTATACAACTTGATGGAGTCCGCGTTCTAACTCCGATTGGATAGGAGATGCTTTCTGTGGGGCTTTCTTCAGGTAAAGAGCCTCAAAGGTCGCATAACGTGCGATCAACAGCGACACAAATTCTAAGCCGCAGGTTGTGGATTCGAAACACTGTCGATCGGAAATAGCGACATGTAACAAGAAACACACTGCGGCCCACGGGAGTGAAGCAGCAGTCGTATCATATTGCGCAGCAACATCGATGACAGCCTTGAACTGGTCGACCCAAGCAATGATCTTGTCAAACAGATCTCGAAGAACGATTGTTTTGCCGCGGAAATCGACCCGACCTTCCACCGCTTTTTGAGGCAAAGGGCTTTCTTGTCGTTTGCTTCTTGCAAGACAGCAGTCACAACATCGACCTCTGGGTCATTGATGATGACTGCCAGACTTGCTTTGATGTCAGGACTGAGCTCATCCAGCTCGTTTTGCCATAGCTATCCACTAGAGAAACTGCTTTCTGTAATCATACCGGTGAATTTGAAAGAGTAACTCGAGTTTTGTATACGAGGTAGATGTAATTAGTGAGAGAAGGCAAAGAAAATAAGCCCAGGAGGCCCCGCTTTTGGGCAGCTCCAGGGAACACACCCTTGTTCCACCTTCCCATCTCTAATGGTGTACTTGTTATGCATTTATATACAATTTATCCCCTTGAGACGAGTGATGGGAACTCCGCTGAAAGGGTTAGTATAGTGATCAATGGATGAGAACTGTGTGAGAATGTGATATACACCACGTGACAGTATCCTAACAACTGGGGTGATTATAACACTCAGAATATCGCCATTTCCGAAAGTAGTTATTGAGATCTTTATACCTGAAGATTTCGATGACCCAGATGTTCTAAACGTAGTCAACCCCCATCCCGAGTAGGGATTTTATGTTCTTTAGATGTTGAAATCAATGCAATAATTGACGACGTTTCAATCAAATTCTATCTGATAGAGCTGAAAATATACACCCGTTCTCGCAGAGCCTTTCAGTGTGCCCCCCTAGAGAGACAAAGAAAATGAAGAAATAGAGGACGAATCCGAAGCCTCAGAGGAGACACTCAGCATTGGAACAAGAGGCGTAGCAGAGCATGGTCTAAGGACCCATCGCCGATCAGCGCCAACACCTTTGATAGGAACCCAAGAGTGGTTTATATGCTTCCTTTCAACCTCCACATGACATTCTCCAAAAGCTTTCTTCAGTCGACGATCAAGTTTGCTCTCCCTGTGAACTCGATCTTCGCCCTGGAAAAGCATCTGTCTCCGTTCAGATACAATAACCACACCACAATCAAAATCATTCAAATACATTGATGCCACCTCCAGCCGGAGACTATCCCAGTCTATATTATCTGGGATCCATTCCTGGACTGGCTGCAGGGTACATGGTTCATAGACCCATTTGGGCGTCCAGCATTCGAAATTTAAGGGCATTCTGATACGGGATCGTCCGCTCCATAGTATCCATTTGTTGCGGGTTGGAACTAGCGTGCTGCCTCCTTCGAGCAGGGTCAAGATGTGACTCATTCGCAGGGAGTCATTTGGACCGACAGATAACTTGGTGAATTCTGAGTCTGATCTTTTGACGATTTCAATGACTCCGATTGATGATGTTGGCGGTTGTTGAAGCAACATTCGTTTCCAACTGGCATCTTTTCGCAGGTAGACCTTGAGCTTGCGACGCTCCGGTTCCCGCAGCGGAAATCTGCTTACATCGGCAATTTTCGACTCTGATGTTTGTTGTTGCTTGAGAAAGAATTGAGCCCAGAGGATATCTTCTAGGAGCGGATTGCGAAGGCGCTGTGAGGGATTCGAGATCTTAAACTTGGAGGGCTTGAAGAATAATGATTCTTGGAGTTTGACTGATGTCTTGATTATGGTATTCCAAACGCGAGATACGCGTTGAGCAGATGTTAATAGAGTTCTCATCTCTGTATGTAGAAGAATGTTCTCAAGTAGCTCATTGATAAGGAATACGCCATGCGGCTGTGAGGGTTTGCTGATAGACATCATTGAAGACGATGTAGAATACTTCTGCTGAATTAGACTAGGGAAGACCAGCTTTATCAAGTATTAGGGACAATATCATACCGTATGACGATCAGATAGGAAGTGAGGACCCGGGGGACCTTCGGGATCTATACAGACTCGGGTGCAACTCCCAACGATATCCAACGTCCGAGAAAGAAGCAGATTCGGTTTGCGTCACAATTGCTATTTGGCCAGTAGAACTCACTGTGCAAAAAGGAAAATCTAAATATCATTTTGCGAGGAAAGGGGTCTTCATGTAGTTTTATGCTGTGGTGGCCCCAAGGTACTTAATGAGGTGATTCTGGACCCGGGCTTGATCGACTTTCACAAGGTGCTCGTGTCTAAATGCGGGGATCATTATCCCTGGAAGCTGCATCATCGAGGACCGGTATCGGTGTTGACTAAGTTGCTAAGAGACGGAAGCAATATACGACAAATGAACCTACGAAATTACAGTCAGGCTGAAGTCAATCGAAATGCATGTTCCAAGAAGTCAATTCTTGCATCGAAATCCCCATAATAGTACATGAATTTACACAAAAAACTCCCAAACACAGTGGAGCTTAAATCAACGCCTCAAATGGCACGTGGTATCGGGTATCATGATAATGCAGTAGCCGACCACAGGGCACGGCTATGCGGGCAAAGAAAAACAAAAAGAGAAAAATGTATGGAAGAAGAGCTGATCACGCAATGATGGTAGAGGGTGAGATCAGTTCATCATTCCGTTCAGCAGCAGTGTCAATAACGTTGGGAGTCTTCAAAGGCGGATCGACAGGAAAGGAGTCATCCATCGGCAACGAGACACTGGTTTCACGGGAAGTGGCAGATTCGAAGTCGGTGACAGTAGATGGAGTAGAAATGTTCTTTGGCTCTACACTTCCGAACGGAGTAGACTCTGCATACTCGTCGTATAGGTCATGTTCTGGAGTTGCAGATGGAGTCGAACACGGCGAGACTGAATCATCCACAGCCTCGTAGAACAGCATGAATGCACCTCCTTGGGTCATCACATGAGCTTCACTCACCATCTGCACGTCATCATCGCTGAGGCGCCACCAACGCTCGGGCTTGTCTTTATCACCCTCAGCTTGAAGGATCTCGTCCGGTGCAGGAGCTGTGAATTCCGATGTCGGATACTTGCGATAGCAGATATAGTGTCCATTCTCATGTCGGCCGTAATGGGTGATGATTGCGCGTAATTCATATTTTCTGCTGGGGACTTGAATTGATTCGCCAGGCTGCGGAAGCATGGACCGCGAGGGGTTTGTTTCCCATTGTTCAGAATGGTCGCCAGATTTGCTGAGAGATCGGGTACCAAGACACCAATTGTTCAAATCGATTGTTTGAGGAAACGCGACTGCCGCGAGATTCTTCTCCAATGTCCCAGTCATCTCGTCGAAGACACTACGATTGATATGGATAGCAAGACAGCGAGGAGCCCGCGCAATGACGGCTTGTCGAGATTTCGTGGTTGAGACTCGGTTCTTTGAGTTGATGTGGCACTTGTTTGCCAATGTTGTTTCGCTGAAGTCATTGCCGTCTAAAGCCGCCTTCACAGCCTCTAACCGTGAGTAGGCTGACAATTTCATGGCATCGAATGGTCGAGGTTCGTCGGGGCTGTCTGACGGACTCTCATCGGCTTCAAATCCACTGATCAAGTTGATGAGTTGCTCCTGTCGATGTAACAGCGTGCACTTAGCGCATTCCACGCCTTCGATAGGCTCAAGCGTCATATATTGGTCCAGGCATTCGCGAACATCGTACGAAGATCTTCTCCCCAGAGGAACAGTGAGACAATTGAAAGGTATCAACGAGAGCCCTTCAGTCCATCCGCATTCCATGCACCCAACCCGTTGAGCGAGTAAGCCTTCGAGAGGATTGCAAGGTGAAACCCTATCAAGATAAAGCTTATCTGTTGATGGGAGCGATTCGGGTTCCCAAGGCACCGTCGGGTCATCACAATCGCTGTCTCGAAATATGTTCTCATCGGGTCCTGTAATTTTCAATCCCATATTCAAAGTCTCTCCGCGTGAGCACACCTCAGCCTCATGATCAATTTGATCAAGCAATTTGGAAAAATACTCTTGCGCATCTTGCTGTTGCCAGCTACTCATAGACTTCAGAGGCCCAGAGATCCACAGCTTGGTTCCACTTTTGGAGGCGCTATTCAGACGGTCGATGAGGTCTAGTAGTGCCTTGTGCGTCGAGATGGAAGCTTTGCCCGAGAGGTTGTCCACGTTATGTCCCAGGAACTCGGTGAGATATTTCAAAGAAGCCAGGCCCTGTATGATGCTGTTCTGGAAACACGAGTTGTTCCAGTTTCCGAGCCCCGGGGGTGCGACGTCCTCCGTATTGCCTAACAGCGCATTTCCGAAGATAGAGAGTGATCTTGACCGGGAGAAAAAGGGGAAGTTAACGTCGTTGTCTAAGCCAAGAATCCGTTTCATAGCGTCGCTTTTATCTTGGAAGGTCAAAGGTGATGAGGCTAGGGAGTTGGGGTCGGAGGTCGATATGCGAGGGTCTAAAGCGATAACGATTCGAGAGGGTGTAAAATAGACGAGGAGATCCCAGGGGAGGTGGAATAGTGATATGGGAACAAATCCGAGGTAACCGAGAATGATAGGAATTGAAATAAAAGCAGTAAGTATGTATGCTAGCGCTTGATTGTTTTGTAAAGTCGTGAAGACGGTTTCATAATGACTGCGGCTTGCGTACTGATCTGGCCGGTTGGAAAAGATCTCAGAGCGCCCGTTGCGGGTGTTCATTGTCAATAAATCCAAAGGGATATATGTGGCAAGAGAAATCTGCCAGCATGAGCAGTAGCATGG